CTGTCCCGGGGCCACTTGCTAGGATGGAGTGGCCAGCTCAGTGTGACCCCTGCTCCCCTCCAGGTGGACAATGCTTATTGGCTGTGGACCTTCCAAGGACGCCTTCTGCAGAAGAACAACAAGGACCGCTTTTGCCAGCTACTCTGGAGACCTCGGCCCCCGACACTGCTGAGCCAGGAGCAGATCAAGGTCTGGCGTCCCCGCCAGGCTCGGGATGTGGAAGCAGTTGTGGCATTAAAGAAAAAGAGTTGTTTTCTGTTATTGTTAGGGTGATGATGAGTGGGGAATAGGAACCCAACATTTATGGGGGGACCCTTTGAAGAGATGCAAGAACAATGAGAACTAAATGGAAAAGAATAGATTTAAGAGAGTAAACTTAAAATTTCAAGTTGTTTAGGAAGTTTTGCATGACCTGGAGGGGCAGATAAAAAGATGCCAGGGGTTGTTAGAAACTCTGGTGGGATTAGAAGAGACTTGTCTGGGATTTACATAATTACGGTGAAACAGGCTGATGGTATTAGGTCAAAGCTGAGAGGAGAGTTAAATCCCAAGAAAGCGAGTCAGTCTCAGGGAAGAGAAACTTAGCGAAGAGAGCGTGTTTGAGCACTCCTGGGGAGCTGTGTTCTATTAATCATTGAGGATGTCATTTCATGTTGGCAACTTTGAAGATTGCGTTTGTGGTGCTTGCTTTGAATGTTAAATCCTGAGTGACTGGTCTTTTGTTTCAGCAAATTAAAAAGGATCTGAAGAAATACTCTAAGATCTTTGAACAGAAGGATCGTTTGAGCCAATCCAAAGCCTCAAAGGTGAGCCTTGTTCCCAGAACCTAGAGCAGTGCTAGTGACAGCCATACCCTGTCGTGGCAAAGAAGGGCCAGGGCTGAGACGCGAGGGCCGCTGGCTGTCTGTGCAGGGAGAAGGCAGGAGAGTGGCTTCTGCCCTGAGGATGCCGGCTTGTTCTGCTGCCGGGGCGGACCTGCAGCAAGGGGCTGAGGGCCTGACCGTAGCCTTGTTGGCGTGGCTTTCCAGTTGCAGGGGTCAAAGGGGCGGCATCAGGAAGACAAATGAGAATGAACAAGTCATTCTGCCATTCCTGGCTGAGAGTCTCTGTCTCTCTAAATGACACCATTCTGACACCATTGGTTAGGTGTGGGTTACTCGTGGCAAAATGTTTTCACTGTGGTTAAATAAAAACTTGATGGTGAGTTAAGTATTAGTTCTGTAACTTCCCCCCTACTTTATACTTAGGAATTGGTAGAGAGAAGGCGAACCATGATGGAAGATTTCCGAAAATACCGAAAAATGGCCCAAGAACTCTATATGGAGCAGAAAAATGAACGTCTGGAATTGAGAGGAGGTAACTTAAATGTTCTTAAATTGTCCAGAACTGAGTGGTCCCCTCCACCCACGGACCCGAGCAAACCTTCCTCAGCAGGAGGGCCATGCTGTCCCCTGCTCAACTCTTGGCTGGTCTGCAGCCCATGTATGACACCCACTCTCTGTCCCCACAGGGGTGGACACAGATGAGCTGGACAGCAACGTGGATGACTGGGAAGAGGAGACCATCGAGTTCTTCGTCACTGAAGAGATCATTCCTCTCGGGAATCAGGAGTGACCTGGAGCACTGTGGTAAGGGTCTCCCAATGGGCAGTCCACGTCCTGTCGGCTGTTTCTGTGCTGCTGCTGCTACCCCATGAATTAGAAAATACCTTGTTTAAGGTGCAAGTGAAGATCCAACTCCAGGGACTGAGGGTTAGTAAAGTTTCGTATGAAATGTGAAGAGTAAGTGCAGTCCAGCCCCGGGCGTGAGCAGAGCATGTCCTCACATGTGGGAGGTGAGCCATAGCCAGGCCAGACCTCTGCAGTGGTGGGAAGGGGAGGGAAGCCGGCACCTGGCTGTCTCCAGGTGTCTTTGCTAGTGGGCAGTCCCGGGTCCACCAGAGAGAAGGAAGGCTGGCGGGAGCGGCTGGGATTTCCAGTGCCGGGCAGTTTCCTCTCTGTTCTGAGACAAGCAAGGTGTAGCAGAGAGCACAGCTGGGGCTGCCTCAGTGACGTGGGCAGGGCCCTTCCAGCCTCTTAGGATGGTGTCATTTGTGGTTGCCACACCTGCTCATCCAGGGCGTGAAGCCGCCGATGATCATTCCTACCTTGGGTCACTGTTCAGTCACAGGACAGAGAGTAAGCAGTGGTCCCTTTGTTGCAGCGGTGCCATGTCCTGTGCTGGAACGAGGCCGTCCCCTTGTAGGAAGCCTGCACGACTCCTGGATCTTAGCTGTGCTTTCTTCTTGCTCTGGACTGTGAACGCACCTGAGATTCTTCCATCTCAACACATTTTTGTGCCTTTAAACCCCTGGTGTCCACAGTGGGGGAGGTTTTAAGGCACTGCTTTCACTTTTTTCTTCTTTGGGGTTTTTAATCTGCACCACCAGACTCTGCTGCAGCGCCACGGTGGGCGCCTTTTTGCCCCTGCAGCCAGTGGCGTTTCCAGGGTGTCCTGTCCACAGCTGGGCCATGTCTCCGTTCAAGAACTCCTGCTTTCTGGTGTGTGGCCACTGCTAGGCGTGTCCTGGAGACCAGCAGGGAGCGGCACGCTGCTTGTGTCCCAGCGTGCTCGGAAGGTGCCGCAGCACCTCCCCGCCACTCGGGCTGTGGCAGGTTCTCTCAGCAGGTTGAATGTGGAAATAAAAGCAAACCTGTATGAAAAAGCTGTCTTTCTCCTCTCTCTGAACGTAGATAGCGACCTTGAATTTGGCACCTGCGTCCCATTCGCAGCAGTGCGGGCCTGCTTGCCGAGCCAGAGCTCCCAGGCGCCATCACATTCCGTTGTCACTTGCACATGGGGCTTAGCGGGGAGGGCGGAGAGAGCAGCCGCTGCCTCTGCTCGGCTGTGCATTAGTCCAGCCAATCCAAAACATTAAAACATTATGCCTCTGCTTTTTTGTTTTCTTTCAAAAAATGCTTATCATTTACCTGATGAGAATCCTTTAGACTTTTCCTTGGAGTTAGAGAAACTGGAACTTTTGTATTGAGAATTGTCAGTTTAGCCATTATCACGTGGTCCTCTTTGAATATTTAACTTTTCTTTTCCCCTCTTGAGAAGGGAGCGAACAAACCCCGAGGATTTCAGTCCATTTCTGTCTGCAATGGCCTGCCATCCCTTGGTGCCTTGGGAGGTGTGGTCTTGTCTCTCTCTTGCTCATGGAACCTGCAGTTGAGTTTAAGAGCAGAGCGGTACGGGTGGCTCACTCGGTTCACAGCCAAGGGACTCACAGAGCCACGGCAGCGTTTTGAGACTGCAGGAGAAGCTGTAGTTTGCAGGGACAGGACAAGGGCAAGATTCCCTGAGGAGCAGGGTTGGCTGCTGCCAAGAGTAACCATTGGCCTCTGGGATTCCATGGGGACTATCTCTGGAGTCTCCAGGCTGCCACAGCTTTGCTCTCACTAAGTCCTCTGGTTGCCTCAGTTTCCCCAGGTGTGGGGAAGGCACTTGGTGCTTTTCCTTTCCTGTGAGCCTTACCTTTCTCTAATCTGTGATCTTTCTGAAATTCTGTAGTTACACTGTCCTTCCATTAGGCTCATCTTGTGCCCATTAGCACACATTTCAGTATTGACTTGTTTACTCACGTTCTTTAACCTGGTGAGCCGAGAAACAGCTTTTCTAATTTCAGGGAAGTAAGAACTATCATATTAACAGATTCTTAACAGAGCTTTTAAAAAATTAACTTTCCACATTTTTAAACTTAATAGTTGTAATTGTTTCACGTAATTTGTAAATAAAAAATTTCAGAAACACTTGTGCTTGTTTTATCTCCTGTGTAGACATGGGTTTCCCAGGGCCGGCCCTTTGAAGAGGGAGTTCCTGGGAGTTGGAGTCCCGGGTGGTCTCAGGCTCAGGGAGTGTTGGGGTGGGCGGGGGCCCCCACGGCAGGCCTTGTCTTGGTGGTATCTCCAGAAGGCCAGAGGCAGTCAGGGTAAGAGTGTTGGGAGGGCCTGGCGCCGTGGCTCACGCTTGTAATCCTAGCTCTCTGGGAGGCTGAGGAGGGCGGATTGTTTGAGCTCAGGAGTTCGAAACCAGCCTGAGCAAGAGCGAGACCCTGTCTCTACTAAAATTAGAAAGAAATTAATTGGACAACTAAAAATATATAGAAAAATTAGCCGGGCATGGTGGCGCATGCCTGTAGTCCCAGCTACTTGGGAGGCTGAGGCAGTAGGATCGCTTGAGCCCAGGAGTTTGAGGTTGCTGTGAGCTAGGATGACGCCATGACACTCTAGCCTGGGCAACACAGTGAGACTCTGTCTCAAAAAAAAAAGAGTGTTGGGAGGCTGAGGCAGGAGGATCACTTGAGCTCAGGAGTTCGAGACCAGCCTGAGTAAGAGCGAGACCCCATCTCTACTAAAAAGAGAAAAATTAGCTGGGCATGGTATTGCACACCTGTAGTCCCAGCGACTTGGGAGGCTGAGGCAGGAGCATCGCTTGAGCCCAGGAGTTTGAGGTTGCTGTGAGCTAGGCTGATGCCACAGCACTCTAGCCCAGACAACAGAGTGAGACTGTCTTAAGAAATAATAGTGTTGGAGCCCATAGACCTTACCGCCCAGCAAGTTCCTCCCACAGGAGGGAGTCGGGGTGTGGGAAGGGTACTCCCTCCCCTTGTCCCATTCACATGGCAGGGCCTTCCTGGAGCCCAGTGTGGACCTGGACACCAAGGAAGAGAAGACAAGTGTGACCAAACGTGCTCTGGCCTCGCACAAACTGCCACGTGTTTGGCTTGAGAAAAAGACGGAGTCGCTCTTGGACAAGCAGACTGGAGAGCTCATGACCTTAAGTGAGGCGCCAAACCTCTGCCCTGGTGGGAGGGCGTCTGGGGCCCTTTTGGCTCTGTAGTTAGAATCATGAAGGTGGACTTGTCGGGTTTGAATGCCATGGATCTAGCTTTCTGTGATTTCTGCCAAAGTGGGGAAGCAACCCCGGCTCTTAACAGGGTCGAGGCTGTATCGTCTTATACTGTGGTTAGCTGTACCTGGCAGGTAGTTCCCTCGGCTGTTCAAGTTCACAGCGCAGTGACTTCCCCAGGGGCTGCAGTGGAAAAGTTGAGCGCAGCATGTAAGCAGTAAATACGCCGCCGGTAGTAATCAGAGCCAGGCCTTGGGCACAGCATGGACTGACAGCGTGGGAAAAGGGGCCGGAAGCCAGTCGCGTCCTAATACATCAGAAACAGTCATATCAAGGCTTTAAAGTGTCGTCTTTGGGAAAAGGCATTTGCAGCTGAAGTGGTTGCATGAAGCTTTAGCTGTTGGCATCTGTCTCTTTAGTGGGAAACCTCCAAGGCCACCCTGGCCTGCTCTGCGTGAGGGGCCCGCCCCTGTGGTGGGTGACTGCTAAGGCCTTTCCTGTGGCTGCCATTCCTCGGCTCCCGGTGGGGGAGGGACCCCACCCTTCAAAGAAGAAATGTGGTTCCTCCTACTGTCAGGGCAGGTCTCAGGTGGGCTCACCTGTAGACCAGGTGAGGGGTGTAGAAGCCCTGGTCGCCATGGCATTAGGTGAACACATGGGCTGTGCCCAGTGCCTGGTGCCTGGCACTGTCCCTGTGCATGAGATCAGGAGGGCTGCCCTGCTGCCTGGGGCCCAAGGCTCCCTAGAGACCCAGCTGATGTCACCTGGGCAGGGCGGGGCTGAGTATGGAACAGTCTCTGCCAGGATAGCGGTGAGCTCGTGTCCCCCTGCCGCCCCATGGCCTCCCGCCAGGCCACTGGACGCTCCCCAGCCCAGGGCAGCCCGGCTTTGAAGGAGCTGGAGCCCAGGGACCAGCAGCTCATGGTGAGTGCCCTCCTCATGGCCCCCGACAGCACCAGCTGCTGTGCCTGACGCTGCTGCCTCCCTGTCTGTCACATCCCATGCCAGGGCCCCCCTCTGGTTCCCACTTTCCCTCCCGGGGGCCCAGCCAGTGCCTCCCCTCCTTCCTCCCTCTGCCCTCCCCAGGCTGCTCAGGCCTGGCCAGGCCCAGGTGGGGCTGTGTGAACCGTGCTCCTCGGCCTGTACCCAGGGACAGTCCGGGCACATTGACAGTTGGGTGAGCTGAGGTCAAGGACTTGCCCCAAACCTGTACACCAGGTGAGTGTTAAGAAGTCAGACCCAAGCCAGGGGGGATCTGGAGGGGCACTCTGAAGGAACTGCTGCTCTGAGGGCAGAAAGTCCCCTGGGAGAGGAGGAGGGGAGGAGGGAGGGCTGGGGGTCTCAGGTTGGAGGAAGAAGAAAGCAGCCTCAGAGGGCCCTGGGAACACAGCTGCTCAAGTGACCTGTCCACAGGTAGCACTTCGAATCCGCCCACTCAGTGACACAGAGCTGGAGGAAGGAGCCACCGTCATCGCCCACAAAGTGGGGGCCCAGGTGAGGCTGGGGGCGCAGAGGGCATGTCCCACCCTGAGGTGCACAATTCCCTGTATCACTGTCACTCAACGGGTATTAACATCCAGTGCCGACAGCAGCTGGGCACTATCCCAGGGGCTGCCACACAGAGCTCACTTTTTTTTTTTTTTTCCCGAGACAGAGTCTGGCTTTGTTGCCCTGGCGTCAGCCTAGCTCACAGCAACCTCAAACTCCTGGGCTCAAGAGATCCTCCTGCCTCAGCCTCCTGAGTAGCTGGGACTGTAGACATGCGCCACCATGCCCGGCTAATTTTTTCTATATATATTTTTTTTTAATTGTCCAGATAATTTCTTTCTATTTTTAGTTGAGACGGGGTCTCGCTCTTGTTCAGGTTGGTCTCGAACTCCTGACCTTGAGCGATCCGCCCGCCTCGGCCTCCCAGAGTGCTAGGATTACAGGCGTGAGCCACCGCGCCCAGCCTGGAGCTAACTTTTGAGTCAGGGCTGGAGGCGGACGACTGTCAGGGGAGTTCAGGGCTATGGGGAAGATCAAGGCCTCTGCTGAGAGCCCAGGAGTGGGAGAAGTCAGAGGATGGCAGACCCGGGCCCAGGCAGGGATGGGCAGGAGAGGAGGGATGTAGTTTAGCAGCTGGGGTCTAGGTGACCCTGCTGCACGGCGGGGTAGGGCACTCGCACACTACTGCTGCTTAGAAACAGGCTTAGAAGCTGAGCTCTTGACACCATTTAGAGACATTCGTGCCCTTGGTTGTCACTTGCAAGAATAAATACCCAATTGGGGGTAAAACTAAATTTTGTCAAGTGGCTGGGATTTCCCGTTCGCCGTTAGAGAGGAATGAACTGTGGCTCCTGAGAGCACGTTTGCTCTCTGGGGCAAAGGACCCAGGATGTTTGTAGAGGGAGACCCCTGGCCAACAGATGCCCACTGGGCTGAGGGCACCCAGTCCCGATCTGGCAGGTCAGGAGGCTTGGGGGTGACGCCTGCAGGAGGATGTGGTGAATCGAATGTCTGAGGTGTGCAGTCATCCTCGCGGGGAGCAGGCAGCCGGCAAGAGGTGGGGTGGGTTAGTGCAGAGTTCATAGAAAACGAAGCCAATGCGACTAGACGGTTGTGAAATTCCTGGCTTTGGGGACTGAGCGATGTTAGGGAAACAGGACACTTCTGGATTTCATGAGGGAAGGGATTGCCTTGGGAACTGAACCCTGAAACCAGTGCAGGAAACTGGGCGTCGTGGGAACCAAAATTGAGCAGGCTGGAGCTTTGGCTCTGCCGGCACCACAGCCCTTTTGAAATCTTGAGGAAGGAGGGAATCGTAAACGCGCTCTGCAGAAGAGCGTTCAAACGACGTGGTGGTGTGTGCCAGGCAAGGGTGTGCGGGTACAAGTGCCCCGACCCTCTCGCCACATCTCCGCCGGGTGTCCCCTCTGGGCGTGTGGGCAGGAACATCTCAGGAACCATTCCAGGGCCCACCCAGGGCCCAGCTCCCAAAGGCCACCTTGCTGTGCGCTGTACGAAAGACACAGCTCACGTTTTTTAAAAATCGAGCTGAAATTCACGTAACAATTCACCATTTTAAAGTGAACGATTCAGTGACATTTAGTTCATTCACAGGGCTGTGCATCCCCCACCTGTACCTAGTTGCAAAACCTTTCATCACCTGGAAGGGGACCCCACGCCCATCAGCGTCCCTACCCCCACCACGTGGCCCCCACTGTCCACCCTCTGCCTCTGCTCGCCTGTGCTGGACGTTTCAGGTGTACGGAACCGTGCGCCACGTGCCTTTTGTGCCTGGCTTCTTTCATTTAGCATGATGCTTTCGAGCTTCATCCATCTTGTAGCATGTTCATGTTTTCCTCTAACTTTTTATTTTGAAGTAACCTCAGACCGATGGAAAAGTTGCAAAACCCTAGAAAGCACTCCCGTATTTCCTGTACCCAGATTTCCCAAACGTCAACGTTTGGCCACATTTCCTTCCTCCTCCCTCTCCCAATGTGTGCAGACTCCCTTCTCCTGGGCCATTTGAGTAAGTTGTGGGCCCAGTGCCTCCCACACCCACACGTCTCAGTGTGTGTCTTAAAATCAAGAACATTCTAGTTTGTGACCTCAGCACAGTGATCAAAGTCAGCAAATTCCTATTGATCTAATATTATCTGGTCTACAGATGTGTCCAGATTTTGCTGATTTTTCTTAATGTTCTTGGTAACAAAAGAAAAAAATTTTTTTTTGGTCTAGGATCCAACACAGCTGGTGTTTTTTTGCATGTGCAGGGCTCAGCTCTGTGCACAGTGTAGCATTCGCCCCTCCAGCCGCCGCTGTGGTGGGTTCTATTACCCCCGCTTTACAGATGGAAAGACTGAGGCCCAGAGAGGGGAAGCAACTTGCCCGAGCCTCCCCACTGGTGAGCCGTGGAGCCAGGACAGGAAACCAGGCTGCGGGGCTCTGGAGCCTGTTCTCTTACCCCAATCCCAGGCTGCAGCACAGGCCTGGCCTGGCAGCAGGGACTGTGTGGAAGCAGCTGCCCGCATCCTCCTCCTTTGGTTCTCTCTGTCTTTGGGAGGAGAGAGGCACGAAGGAAAGGGAGTTCCAGACGTCCCGGAAAGTGCCGGCCAGAGCCAGAAGCAGGCCTCTGGGTGCCGGATGGTAGGACTCGTGGTCCCACCCAAGTGTGCCCCCCGCCAGCTGCCTGGGTCCCCAGATGCACCCAGCCAGGCAGCTCCTTGCCAGAACAACCAGCCAAGGGTGCGTCTGGTCTCTTTTCTTTTTCTTTTTTTGAGACAGAGTCTCACTCTGTCGCCTGGGCTAGAGTGCAGTGGTGTCATCATAGCTTACAGCAACCTCAAACTCCTGGGCTCAAGTGATCCTCCTGCCTCAGCCTTCCGGGTAACTGAGGGACTTTAGGTGCGCACCACCACACCCAGCTAATTGTTCTGTTTTTAGTAGAGACGGGGTCTCGCTCTTGCTCAGGCTGGTCTCCAACTCCTGAGCTCAAGCGATCCTCCCACCTCAGCCTCCCAGAGTGCTGGGATGATAGGTGTGAGCCACCGCGCCCGTCCTAGTCTGCTTTCTAATTGCCCCTGTCACCTCCAATTCCCTGGGAAAGGCTCCCTTGAACTTCTCTGTCCCCAGAGACCCTAATACACTTTGCTTCATAAATATTTATGTGAGATGGGGATGGCCCTGGGGGCAACTGAAGCTCTCAGAGAAAGCACAGGTGGGTGGCAGAGTGTGGCAGGGTCCCTATGGGGGCAGCTCACAAAAGCAGGTCGAGGAGTGGAAATGGGGTGTCGAGGGGAGACCCTGAGCACGGAGCCAGGCGGCCAGCTCGGTGCTGCACCGTTTACAGAGCCCCTTCCATCCCTTGCCCTGTCACTTCTTCAAGGGGTTTGTCACTGCAGTGCCCAGGGAGGGTCGCAGACTCTGTGGCCCTGGGAGTGGTTGTCCACTCAGCCACAGCGCCCAAGTGGGCTGGTGGCCGCGGTGCTGGGCTGCCATCCTCGCTGGTGGTTTGGCGAGTCAGCGTCTGTTGGTGTGAGGGTGCCAGCTGCATGGCCCTGCAGGCCGGGGGAGTTGCCCACGAGCTCTGAGAGAGGGTGCCAGGGGTGGGGTGCCTGACGTCCCCCAAGACCCCCGCTGGCTGGAGCACAGAGGCCTGCAGCCCTTCTTGGGCTGGGACCAAGGCCCTGGATATGGTGGAGGGCAGGTGCCAGGCCTTCAGGCCTGTGGGGGGAAGACTCCACCCAGCTCTGACCAGCCCCTCCCTGCCCACTCGTTGCCCCAAGATGGTGGTGCTCATGGACCCCGGTGAGGACCCGGAGGACACATTGCGCACACACCGGTCCCGGGAGCGGGCCTTTATCTTCGACACCGTTTTTGACGAGCACGCAACCCAGGTACTCACCCACCCCTCCCGCCCACTCGGCCCCCCATTGGGCTGGGCCCTCCTTGGGAGGACTTGGTGGCCAGGCGGTCTCCACACAGTGGCCGCCAGGTGCTGGCCTGGCCTGGGTGCTTCTCAGAGGTTCTTTCACTCGCTCACTCACCCCTTCATCCCGCAGAGTGGGGCCGGGTCCCACAGTGGGAGTAGGACAGGGCCCCACCCCGCACTCACATCCCAGCGAGAGACAGACCACAGCAGGTGGAGGAACAAGCGCATTTGTCAGTGCGCACTGCAGTGAGTGCTGCCGTGGGACTCGTGAGCCCCTGGTGGTGGCCATAGGGTGGCCAGGTGGGTGTCTCTGAAGAGCTTTGGTGAGAACAGAGGAGGGCGGGGCCTGGGTGGAGGCGTCATTGTACCCACCTCCCAGAGGAAGCACCTGAGGCTTCTGAGATCAGAGCTGGTGTTAGAGCACACGGCTGCCCATTGGCATCAGGAATGTCCCCCCGAATGCAAGATTCAGAACAGAGTCGCTGGCCAACGGCAGTTCAGCTTCCATTTGAGCAAACAGGTGCCTTTTACTGTCACGGCTGTCACGGCATTGCAAGTGGAAGGGACTCGATCACCGACATTTACTGAGCAGCTGCTACAGGCAAGCGCTGTGCTCAAGAGCCTCATGCACGTTGCTTTACGACCCTCACGGCAACCCTAGAACACGCACAGAAACAGTCTCCTCATTTTACACGCGAGGCAACTGAGGCCCAAGAAGGCCGACGCCCTGCCCGAGGTCACACAGCTCGGGTTGAAGAGCCAGGATTCAGACCCAGACTGTGTGCGTCCAAAGGCAGAGGGAGCAGTGCCGGCTTTGCACTGTCCCGCCCAGGCGTCAGAAGCTGCCTCTTCCTCCCACGGGCTGTGTGACCAGCCAGGGCTGCTGGGACACTTGGATGAGATGAAGGGCAGGGCGCAGGGATTTGTCCCACAGAGAGGAGTCGCGCTGCTCTTCCCCGACTCCCAAGCCTGCTGCTGTCTCTCTGTCCTTTGTGTTCGTTTTGGTTTCTCTCAGTTCTTGAAGCAGCCCCAGGGAAGCCTCGCGTGTGCTCAGTATCCAGCGCATGTCGGGCCTCGTGGTGGGGGTGTCCCATGTCACACACCTTCTCCTTTAGTCCTTCCTCGAAGCCACACTGTGAGGCTCAGCGCAGTTGAGATCCAAAGCTGCACACCTGCAGGACAGGGATGGGGACCCAGGGATGTCCCAATGTCCCCGCGCTTTTTTTTTTTTTTTTTTTTTTTTTTGAGACAGAGTCTCACTCTTTTGCCCGGGCTAGGGTGAGTGCCGTGGCGTCAGCCTAGCTCACAGCAACCTCAAACTCCTGGGCTCAAGCGATCCTTCTGCCTCAGCCTCTCGAGTAGCTGGGACTACAGGCATGCACCACCATGCCCGGCTAATTTTTTCTATGTATTTTTAGTTGTCCGATTAATTTCTTTCTATTTTTAGTAGAGACGGGGTCTCGCTCTTGCTCAGGCTGGTTTCGAACTCCTGAGCTCAAACAATCCGCCCGCCTCGGCCTCCCAGAGTGTTAGGATTACAGGTGTGAGCCATCGCGCCCGGCCCCACGCGCTTTCTAGACTTCCTGATCCTGGGTGTGCCCCTGCACGTGGCCAGAGGGATTGGAACCTACGCAGACACCACACACCTGTCTTCTCCAAACTGCTGGGTCCCCCACTCTGGCAGGGATGTCCACGTGCCTGTCCTGTCTGCCCGCAGGAAGATGTGTACTGCGCCACCATTCAGCACTTGGTAGAAGGCGTCATTTCTGGATACAACGCGACGATATTTGCCTACGGCCCCTCAGGTACCATCAAGGCCAATGTCCTGGGAATACATGGGGCTGGTGGCAGAACTCTCCTTAGCAGCACAGAGCACCTACTGAGTGCTGGGCTTCCTGTATCCATGGGTAGCGGGAAAGACAGGTAGGGTGATCCCCAGGGTCACACGGCTGTTAGGAATGACTCTAGAATCCAGCCCATGTCTTGCTGCCCCACAGAACCCAAGGATTTCTTCCCTGGAATTCCAAGTTGGGCTTGACAAACATTTGCAAAGCTAAGCCACCTCAATCATCCCTGAAAACTAGAGTCACAGAGGGTCAGAGCTGGAGGGGCCCAGCCCTAACCCGACCTCCATGCAGATGGGGAAACTGAGGCCCTGAGAAGCACCTTGCCCAAAGTCACAGCTTGTTCCTGTTTCATTCACCCAACAACGTTAGTGAGCACCTACTGCATGCCAGGCTCTGGTGAAGGGAAGAGTTCTCTGGTCCTTGCCGATATAGGGCCAAAAAGCAAGGAGGAAAGTGAGGTACCCCCTTAAAAAGTAGAATATGTTAATTCTCTTTTTATAAAAACATCACAAATATCCAAAAAGAGTTTGGAGAAAAGGTAGTTTTCCTACTCTGATGCTATCTGCATGTTTGCTCATATCCTTCCAGTTTGTCCCCCTGCACCCAGATTTTCTTCCGCAGAGTAATCATCAGACTGTTCAGAAAGCTGTTTAAAATTTGTTTCCATGATGGGAAATTAGCGTGTCAGAGCAGCAGGTGTGAGCAGCTGCCATGTGGGTCTTTCAGTGGCCAGCGCTTCCAGGTGGGGCATCTGAGCCCGCGTCCAGAGCCCCCCAGCAGGTGTCTCTGCTCTTCTCGCAGGTGCAGGGAAGACACACACCATGCTGGGCGTGGACGCGGAGCCCGGCATCTACCTGCAGACACTCACCGACCTCTTCCAGGCCATCGAGGAGACCCGGGACAACATGGAGTGCAGCGTGTCCATGTCATACCTTGAGGTAAGCCTGCGCATCAGCCTCGGTTGCCTTGTCTGCAAGATGGGCATGAGCCAGACCAGACACAGCTGTGTGTGGTCCCCAGCACCACATATTGTCCCCCACGTGCCAGGTGGCCTTGTGGAAAGCCTCAGCCCTCAGAGTTGACGTTTCTCAAAGCCCTGAGCATGTGTCAGTCGTTGCAGGTCTTTTGAGCCAAAGCCCAAAGCTGCCTTGTGCTGACCTCTCTGTTCCACCCCAGATTTATAACGAAGTGATCCGGGACCTCCTCAACCCGGCCTCGGGGTTCCTGGAACTGAGGGAGGACTCTCGGGGCAGCATCCAGATTGCTGGCATCACAGAGGTGTCCACCTCGAATGCCCAGGAGGTGAGTCACAGGGGCCCATGGAGGGAGACGTGGCCGAGCAGCCACAGACATACGTGAGGTCCTTGTTCAAGTTCGCTGAGCAGAGACAGACCTGCAGCTCCAAAGTTTCTTCCACACCTGGACTTGATCTAAGAGAATGCAAACGCCTGAGCCCATGTCCCCAGCCCCCTGCTCTGTGCTCAGGGCAGACATCACGAACGGATCACACACTCTTCCCTCTGCCCCCAGACACAGGCCTGGGGGCCCTTCAACACAGCCCTCCAGGCAGCCACACCAGCAGAGTGGGCTCCGGTCTGAAATCCACTTCCCATGTCTGCTAAGAGTCGTCGCTTCCTGAGCAAGGGCAGCAAGGGCACCAGTGAACCTTTCCAGGCCGTCTGTCTTTTCTGCCCACCGCTGGTCCCTATGCCAGCGTGCTCGACACTGCCCTCAGGGTAGGTCTCCTGCCTGCTCACAGGACGCCAGTGGCTCCTCACTGCTTCAGGACCATTGTGGACTCCTCGTCCTCAGCCTTAATGACCACGTGCTCTGGCCATGCTGATGCTACAACCCCCTGACCTTACCAGCGTCTCTGGTGGGCTTGGGGAGGGGCAGCCCTCTTGCCTATTCTTTAATAGCAACCACTGCATCAGTCTTCTTTCCATACAAGCTCTGTAGTCCTGGCATGAGTATAGTACACAATAGGTGCTCAGCAGAGGCTCATTGGCTTGATTTCCACAGCTGCTTGCAGGCCAATAGATTGGGCCCCCCTGCCCACGCCAGCCAATCGATGCAGCTGCCTGGAGTTCTGTACTGAAAAGGGTCCTGGCTGCCCCCGGCTCTGTGGGGAAGAGACGGGGGACCTGTGATGTCTGCTGGGGTGCAGGCAGGAGGGGGCGGTGCACGTGTCAGGCAGCTGCCGTTCCCGATCGGTGAGTCGACTCGAATTGATCCCTTCGTGCAGCAAACCTGAAGCTGCTTCCACCTGCCGGGGTTCTGCTACGAGCAGCCCTGGGCCCCCGCGGCTCTTCTCTTGCCTGGTGTTTGCGGAGGGCATGTGTGGCCACTCAGGCGGCCCTGACTGCCCGCCCGCTCCTGCCTCTGTTCTCAGATCATGCAGCTCCTCACCAGAGGCAACCGTCAACGCACGCAGGAGCCCACGGCCACCAACAAGACATCGTCCCGCTCCCACGCCGTGCTGCAAGTCACCGTGCGCCAGCGGAGCCGTGGCACAGACCTGCTGGAGGAGGTGCACGTTGGGAGGCTCTTCATGGTGGACCTGGCGGGCTCGGAGCGGGCGTCCCAGGTGCCTGTCCCTCTGACGTGCCTCCTGCCCTTTCCAACTTCATGATAATGACGCTGTGTCTGGCGGCCCTTAAGGCTTGAGCAGGACCTTGTCCGTCCTCATCCAACCGCGTCTTCAGCAGCTAGAGCAGCCCTGGCCCAGGGGAGGCGCTTGCTCCATGCTTGTTGAGTGAATTCTCAAAGCGTTGTGTGTGTATGGTGGGGACACTCAGGTGGATGACACCCAGCCACACCCCAGAGCTCGGGGGCTTCTGGGGAGACAGACATGAGTGGATAATTCAGCATGGGGGGGTGAGGCATGTGCTTTGAGATTCAGGGTCTGCAAGAGGTGGTGGGAGCCCAGAAGAGGGTGGGTGGCGGTGGGTCTCAGGACGAAGCCTGAAAAGGTCATTACGAGCTTGGGGAGCCCCAGGAAGAGCATTTCGGGAGGGGGGACTGTGTGCAGAGCGTGGCTGTTGGGAGGATGGTGCACAGTGTGCGGTAGCACAGCTGCATGCCCCACTCATAGGTGCTGCTGGGGGCCAGCCCTGACCCCCTCCCCCAGCCCCAGCCCACCTGCCCTTTGCTGCACATGTCGCTGGGAGGGGGCGTGGAGCTGACCGCCTGTTGACCCTGTGGTCTGTGTGTTCCTTGAGGTAGGAACCCAGCCCAGGACTGGGGACAGAGAAGGGACGTGATAAAGGTGGTGTTGGAATAACTAATGTCCTCAAGTGACATTTTTACACCCCTCTGATGCGTCAGGCACTCCGCATTCATAGTCACATAACCTCCCTGACGCAGAGCAAGGTGACGGCATCGTGCCTCTTTTATTTACTTACTTACTTACTTACCTGAAACAGTCTCCCTCTGTCACCCTGGCTAGAGTGTTGTGGCATCGGCATCTAGCTCATAGCAACCTCAAACTCCTGGGCTCAAGTGATCCTCCTGCCTCAGCCTCCCAAGTAGCTGGGACTCCAGGCATGAGCTACCATGCCAGGCTAATTTTTTCTATTTTTAGTAGAGATGGGGTCTCGAACTCCTGATCTCAAGCAATTCTCCCACCTCAGCCTCTCAGAGTGCTAGGATTACAGGCATGAGCCACTGTGCCCGGCCCGTGCTTGTTTTATGACATGTGGGCTGTGACATGAGGGTGATGTGACTCTCTGTGCACAAATATCCTAACAGTGGATCTGAGCCTTGAACCCCAGGAAGGCTGGCCCCAAACTGAGCCTTTCTCAGCTGATATTTGAGCTCTGCTTTGTATCTTTGGGGTCTGGAAGGCCACTGATTGGCTTTACCCATCTGTCCACTCACTGCCCCATGCCTGGGCCTTCCCCAGCGTTCAGCTGCTGGCCCAGCGCCGGACTGTTCTAGAACCTAGAGCATCCATAGAAAACTGAGGCACAGTGAGGCCAAGAGATTAGGCAACAACTGCCATTGAAGAGAGTTTGTCACTCACAGATCCCGAGAGGAAGGGGTACTGGGGGGATTAGGAGTGGGGGTGAGAAAGTTGCGGGGGGGTCCTTCCCAGATGAAACACACCCTCTTTTATTTTTATCATAAAACTGGGGTTGTTCAGCACAGACTTCCCTTGAATCTGCTTTCGCCGCCTCTAATGGTGAGCACCTTCCTGGCACTGCCCGTAGCTCGGCACCACCTCTACGGCTGCGTGGCACTAACCCCCAGAGCACGAGGGCCCAGGACCCCAGGGGATGGGGTCACCTCCCCTCTGGCCTCAGTCCCCTCTCTGGGAATGGGGGCAGGGGGAGGCAGGTGGAAGGACTAGGCCCCCAGCCTGGCCTCCCCCTGCACAGACCCAGAACCGAGGCAAGAGGATGAAGGAGGGGGCACACATCAACCGCTCCCTGCTGGCTCTGGGCAACTGCATCACTGCACTCAGCGAGAGGGGCGGCGGCCGGGCGCAGTATGTCAACTTCCGGGACAGCAAACTCACGCGCCTGCTGAAGGTAGGTGGCCGCGGTGGCCAACCCCGCATCTTCCAGGAGACACCGGCCAGGAGAGAGGCCCAGGCCTGGCTCTAGGGGCCCTTCCAGGAACCCCTGAAGCCTAGAAAACACCATAGAAGCCATCTCTAGTCACTGCCTGACACCCCCCTTTATCCCTCTGAGTATGGTCCAGTCTGTGCTTGCATACCCCTGGTGACAGGGAGCTCACTGCCTACCCATGGTTGCCTGTCCCATTATGGACAGCTCTGATTGTGAGAAAATCCCCCTTTATGCTGAGCTGGATGCTCTCGCCTCATTCTGCAGCAAGGGTGGAGTATATACAGATAGACACAGGAAAAGCAGTAAATAAGTGTCCCTGGAAATTTGTCCCTCTTGGTCTGATCTGCTCCCATCAGAACCGAAGTCACAGGCTGTGCCTGGAATGGGTCCCACTTCGTCCTGAGGGTTGTCTCCCCGAGGACTGGCCCTTTGATCCCTGGCACCAGCTGTCCTTCCCAGTTATCCCAGCGATGGCTGGGGGAGGCCCTGGGCAGGTGGGGGCAACGTGGCTCCTGTCACTTCCACTTGGTGGCTTCCACCTGTGCAGGACGCCCTGGGAGGAAACAGCCGCACCGTGATGATCGCACACATCAGCCCAGCCAGCACCTGCTTTGAGGAGTCGCGGACCACCCTGCTCTACGCCTACAGGGCCAAGAACATCAAGACGCGGGTGAGCCGCACGGTCACTCAGGCTCGCGCAGCGTCCGTCGCTCATTCACTCACTCATTCACTTATTCATTCATTCACTCACTCACTCACTCACTCACTCCTAGGTGGTCATATGGGGGTGGCTGCCAAGCACAGACCCCGAAGCCAGATAGCTTGGGTTTCCCTCCCACACTACCGTTCCCAGCTGGGCGACCTCGGCTAAGTTTATTACCCCCTCTGTTCTCCACTTTCACCATCTCTGAGATGGGGAGGGTGAAAATACTGACAGCAAACATCTGCATTAGTTTCCTGTGGCTGCGGTAACAGGTCACTACAACTGGGTGACTTAAAACAACAGAAAATTATTCTCTGACAGGCCGGAAGTCTGAGATGGAGGTGCCAGCAGGGTCACGCTCCCTCTGGCCAGGCATCCTCCAGGGTCTCTTCCTGCTTCAGGCGGCTTCTGTCATCCTTGGCTTGTGGCTGCATCACTCCAGTCTCTGCTCCATCTTCACTGGGCTCCTGTCTTCTCTGTTTCTCCCTTCTCTTCTCACCTGGGGACACCTGGCATTGGATTTAGGGCCCACTTGATCCAGGGTGATCTCATTTCGAGGTCCTTAACTTAATGATATCTGCAAAGACCCTTTTTCCAAATAAGGTCCCCTTCACAGATTCTGGGGATGTGTACATGTCTACGTACCAGGCATATGTGCTCCAGGAGGTGTGTGAACACCCCAAAGTGCCCATCTGAGGGGACGGGATTAGCAGATTGGGCTGCGCCCTCCCACGGAACATTCTGTAGCTATTATGGCCTCCAAGATGCATCATTGGGAGCGAAAAGCAAGGGAAAGAATATCAGTATCTCTGGTCTGATGCTGTTTGTAGAATCACTCAAAGCCAACACGTGACACACAAACAGCCCACACACCCCTCTGCACGCACGCACAGTTGGCCTTCCACGTTCACAGCTCCCCCAGCCATGCATTCAGCTCACCTCAGATCAAAGATATTTAAAATAAAACCAATACAACAATAAAAAATATACAATAAAAAACAATACAGTATAACAACGATTTACATAGCATTTGCAATGTATTAGACATTATAAGCAATCTAGAGTCGGATTGAAGTATACGGGAGGATGTGCGTAGGTTATACGCAGATACTGTGCCATTTTATGTCAGGGACTTGGGCACCCGTGGATTGTGGTATCCACAGGGTT